GAATACTAAACATCCAATGATGAATATGATTATTAATAATCTTGCATCTTTAAATAATTGTTCTGTAGAAACTATTCATAGTATCATTCGATGATGCATGCCTAAATTTTTTAAAGTGGATTAATTGCAGAAAAAGGCATACTTTCTTTTCCAAAATTGAGAAGATAACTCTTTTCATCAATATTTCATGAATTCAATAAAGTATTCTTACAAACCGAAGACATTACACATGCTATCCCAAAAATGTGCTATGGTTCTGTTAGAAGTATTTATGAAGATATATAAAGTGCACCATTTGTATCCTTTGATTATAAGTTCATCTAATGATGATATTAATACATATAATTTGCCTTTTTTAGGCTATGAAATAACTAATTGTCACCTTTTAAGAGGCTTCATTATCTCCAGAAAACTGTATATAAGCATTTTGTATGATTATTTATATTGTGATTGTACTAACTACACTAATTATTCTGATAACAGTATCGTTCTTGCATGTGGGCATGGCTATCATAACTGTTGCTTACAAAGATGCAATTTTAAGTACTTAATTTGTTTAGGTTATCTTTGGGATGCTATTAAAATTAATGTTGAAGCGCTGAGGGAAAGTATGATGAAAGATTTAAATAGAAAAGAATTTATGGATAAGCATACTGAAAGTACTGAAGATGAATCAGACGATGCTGAAATAGTAATGGGTAATGCAGAAATGACAGATAATTTATTAGAAAATACAAAAAAAACTTTTTTAAATATTAAATAGATCTTGAAATAAAAATTTTATTAAATAATATAAAAAAATTTTTCTTTAATTATCAAATACTTTCTGAAATTGACCCTTAATTATCATAAAATTCACATGTAATTGTATTAAAAATAAAATAAAAAATTAATAAATAAAGAATCAAATTTTTATCAAAATTCCACGCATTAAAGCCCCAAATCTGTAATATGTGCATTATCTAATTTATATTGTAAAGTATTATTTTATATTCGATCTTGTAAAATGCATCTAAATTTCAAAACAAAAAAAAAGTCAAATTCGATTATGAATATAAAAGATTATAGTCACTATTCACGATTTTAATTGGTTGAATCTATATGCATGATGATATGCATGATCAGGATCATCATTTCCTTATTTAGGACAGTCCTACCTGAAGTTAGCTCATAGACCTAATTGGTTATCTACCCATGATTGTCCGTAATAATTAACCAATCAAATTACAAAATTTTTAAAATGTTTATCATTTAAAAAATGAAAGGTAATCTTACTTAAAGAAGCCTACAACTAATAATTATATACAAAGAATTTATTATATAAAGTTAGAATATAGATAGATATATGTAAGATGATATAAATGTAATATTTATTATTATAATATGAACTAGAGTTAATACTTTAATCCAATTTAATATGTTTTTAAATTACTATGTTTTACTATAATTTTGTGAGAAAATATCAACCCAGATATATACTGAGATATCCTAAATCAGTGAGTCTGTCGCTAATCGAAGGTCAGCTTCGTGTAATGTTCAAATGGCTTTCGGGCAAAAGAGGCATGTAGATTTGGTAAGTGATTTCGATTTGGGTCTTGCTTATCCTAGATAGTCTACACTACATCAAGACTATCATTCTAATTCTTCTAATACTATAGTATTCTATACTACATTGGGAATTACTGGACTGTTAGGGTGGGATTTACTACTATTTCAGGTTAGGTTTATGGTTCTCTACAGTCACTCATAGATGAACCCTTATTTCGATTTATTTTGTCAGGTAGGGAAATCTGCTTTATTATATGGATGAAACTACATGTTATTTATAACTAATTCTCTATTTATTTTTAGGGTGCTGATAATCATTATAATGATTATAATGATTATAATGCTTGTATTGATTATAATAATTATAATCAATATAAGCAATATAATCAATATAATCATTATAAGCAGTTATCCCAAGTATGGTAAGAAATCTTCATACTCTAGGGAGCATGACTTGAGGTCGAACAGTGAAGATCCACGATGAAATTGCCCACTCGTGGATCACGAGTTTCAGGTCTAACAATACTTATACAAATTGAAATATTAACTTTGCCTCGAACTATTAAAGAGTTAATACAGTTGTCCTTCTCAATAATTACACAGTTGGGCACATCCTAATATAGTGATAGTATAGAAGTGTGACTAAATAAAAGTATTTCTATATAATCATATTATATAAAATTTATAAATATATGTGATTATATAAAGGTAAAATATAATAAAAATTCATTTAAAAATTTTTATATAATAATCATAAATAGTTTCTATATAGACAAGTCAAATATTTATTAATTAAATCGATCTTTATATATTAAATAAAGTTGTTTAAAAGAATAAAATATATATATTCTAAAGTTTTTATACAAATTTGTTAATCTTTTATTAGTATGCTTTTTTATTTTATATATATATAAATAGAATTAAAAATTGGAGTATTATATTTGTAACTATGACTACTATAATTACATTTCATAAAAGCTAACCAATTTTAAAGATCAAATGTAATGTAACATGATCAGAAAAAATTAAAATAAACATTTACTTTTATTAAAAATTATTAAAAATTGTTTATAACTCAAAATTAAATATATGAAACTATTCATTAGGTTCTAACAAAAAAATATTCTTACAAAATTTTACTATAAAATATCTATTTTTACTTGCATCTTATCCTTATCTTAACCTAATCCTAAGAACAAATAACATAGTTATTTTAGTTATGATTACAATAGCCTATAGCTATAAATATATTAATTCTTAAAAATTTTAATTTTTTTTGATAGAAACATAAAATAAAGAAGTACATTAATAAAATTTAATTGATTTACATAAAAATTTCAAGATATATGCATTTACTCTTCCAAATAACTTTATTTATTGTATAAAAATCAATTTATCTAATAAATATTTAATTTCTATATTGTTAACCTACAAAAATAATTATAACTTTGGAATTACTAAACAGAATTTGATGAAACTATCACTATTCGAATTAGCTCACTGAGACAGTTCTAATGAGGTATAGATTATTCATTTCTGATTACAGGATCACAAGATCAAATCCAATAACTAAATTAATAAGAAAGCTGTGATCTGATTGGTTGGAAGATGACTGCATGAAATATCATATATATAACATATATAACATTTATGCATTTTGAAGCATCTATATTTTATATTATATCTAGTTTATATATATTATTTAGTTTATTTATTTTATTTATTTTATATATCAAACATATCTTATTTATTTTATTAATAGTAGTTATAAAATATCTTGTATATATAAAAGATATAAGCTATTATATTCACTATATAGTCAAAAAGTATAAAAGCAACAGATGTGAACCCCAAGTTCAATATTGAGTCTTCATACTCTTTCACTAATAAATTATTACTTTATATTACTCAAATTAAACAGTTATTAGTATCTTTATATACTTTTAATTGTAATCTCTTTCATAATTGCAAATTGTCTTAAATCTTCTTTGTTAAGTTTTCTAAAATAAAACACCTTCTGATTTAGTTATAACACAATAACAAATGAGGTTACAAAAAGTGTTCACTGTCTAAGGTTGTTCTAGTTACTTATTATCTTAAAAGAAATAGATATAGGATAACAATATATAACAACAATTGATGATTATATATAAAACTTTTTTAAAAAACTTTTTATATATAATTGTCAATCATTGTTATATATAGAAATCAAATATTTACCAAGTAAATCGACTTTTATGCAATAAATAAAATTATTCATAAGAGTAAAATTCATTTATTCTTAAATTTTTATGTAAATCAGTCAAATTTTTATTAATGCACTTCTTTATTTTATATTTCTACTAAAAAAAATTAAAATTTTTAATTCTATTCACACATATGTAAAATAAAAAAACATACTAATAAAAGGTTAACCAATTTGTATAAAAACTTTAGAATATATGTATTTTATTCTCCTGAACAACTTTACTTAGTGCATAAAGATCGATTTAATTAATAAATATTTGACTTGTCTATATAGAAATTATTTACGATTATATGATTATAAAGAAGTAGACTTATTATCAAAATTGTTCAACTAATTCAAAAAAAATGTGATAGCGATTATAAGCTATTTGTGATTATAAAGAGAAGTTTTTAATAATAAAATAATTGGTAACATAAAATTGTGTGATTATATAGAGTTTGTGATTGTATGAGAGGTGATTATATGGAAAGATGACTGTACATGAATAAATTATTGGGAAACGTATCTTTATTCTTTGCCCATTATCTTTTGAAAAATTCAATCTTATTATTATGACATTTATTAGAGATTCACCACGACCTTAAGACCACATAATTAATAAAACAATAAATACAGTATAATCTCAGTATAACGAAGCTTTTGGGCTGGGATTTCGTTGAATCGAGGTAGAATTTGTATCTATAAATATAACTAAGCTAGTGATAATTTCATTATCTTGAGGTTATATTATATTGCTTGTGTATTTAATATTAATTAAAATAAAATAAAAAACTTTAATTTAAACTATGAAACCTAACGATATTACATGATTTTAAGTGAAGTATTTGTCATAAGTAAATTTATGCATCGTACAATATAAATTTTGTGGTTTAGTTAAATAATTTCCTTAAACATTGTATGAGCTAGGTGCTGAGAAAAGGGACAAACTGACAATTTTTTCAAAGCTCTTTATTTAAGCTTAACTAATACAAAAAATAATCCATGATCATTTTTTTTACATATAATACAAGGAGTATCTAAAGAATAAGCATATCATTCATTTTATATTTGATTACTTTGAAAGTCTATCATTATGTATTTTAATATCAGTAGCAAATTTACCGTAACTTCATTTATTATATATCGGAAATTTCATAATGTAGTGGAAGTGCTATATCATTTGACGAGTCATATATCCACTGCTAATACTAATCACGCGACTTTTTTATACTGCATTCCGATGAACAGGGATATCTGGTTTCCGTTTCATCAAATTATATGGTATGGTTGCATTATGCGAATTGAGCAATTCCTGATTTAATTTCAAATCCTGTATCTCCCATTCATATTCTTTGCATATTCATTGAAGGTCGATTTCTCTGTATTATTCAGCCGGTTATTTATATATAAATGATACCTAGAGATGGGACACTGCGCAGTGCAATTTTCATAATTCTGGCCAGCTAGCATAATTCTGGCCAGCTTTATAATCCGGTTTGAATTACCAATCGGAAATCAGTTCGGATCGGCCCAATAGAAAAACGGATCTGCATCACCTGATTAATAGAATCCATCGTTCATAATTCTGGTCAAACTTGCAGATCATTGGACACCATTTAAAGTTGTTTTGTTCTAGATCTGGCCAAATGACCTGCAAATTTGACCAGAATCATCAATTCACCGATATGCAGAAAAAAAACGCAAAACAACAAAAACTGACGTTTAAACTAACCTTGGAGTATTAATTAAAAATGATGGGAGACCAACTTTACACATATGAAGTAGATGTTTTATATATATAAACGTGAAACCTAATGAGTAAAAGTCTCTAGGGACTGAGGTTGTGCAGGCTGCGCAGTAGATTCAAAAAAACATCGATTTTCCCATCTCTAATGATACCTATAACATGTACATAATAGTCGAATCAAATCCAATACCATAGCTATAGTCGGTCGTTCTAAAGGATTTTGATCCCAACATTTTCTTAGCATATCATTATAAGTTGGAGGCACAAAATGGCACGTTTTTGGTCGAAGACCATCACAAATATCTGTTATTAGATCTACGTCATGCACCCTGTTTGAAAATGCTGGAATTCCACAAGCCAATTCCCATAGAATAGTACCTAAACTATAAATATCACTTGCCTGAGAATATGGTGATTGACAACAAAGCATCTCTGGTGCCATATTTGGTATGACTCCATAAAGTTTCTTTTCAGCCATCTGCGCTTTATTCACTGGTCGACATAGTCCAAAATCTGAAATAAAGGCATCTTCCTCGTTTAATAATAAAATATGAAGATCGCCGTGTACCCAACCTTTATTATGAATATTTTGAAGTTCTATACATATAGACTGTGCTATGCTTAATTTATTTTCTAGAGTTAGTTTATCAAAATTTTTCTGCAGGAATCGTCGAAGATCACCTTGTGATGCATAGCGCATTACGAACATATATTGTAATGTCGAAGGATTTTTAGTAACACCGTATAAATGACAGCAATTAAATTGAGCTTGAATCTGCATTTAAAATAAATTCACTTAATATTTCTATGAACATTTCTATGTAATTGAATATTTAAAATATATACCTCTTTAAGAAAAAGATGAACGAGTCTTTTCCACTTTTTAATTGTTTTAATGCAACGTACAGGGATCAGATCGAGTATAATATTTGTCTCCGTCTATTATGGAAACCCATTTTATTCCCTTACCCCATCTTGCTGAATATATAGCACCGAACCCGCCTCTGCCAATAGATTCTATTTTAGTTAGTGAGTCGTACGGAATCCATTCAGGGAACTGGATATAAGGAGATGGAATTTGTTCTTGTTGAATAAACCCATCAATTTGTAAATTTTCACTAGTCCAGTTAGAAAACTCGCTTTTTAACACTCTATGGAGGCAATTGTCGCATAAATATGTGGGTTCTACAACATATATTCTAATGTCGAAGGATTTTGGGTAATTCCATATAAGCAACAACAATCAGATCGATCTTGAAGCTGTCTATTGTAAGTAAAAACTCTTTCATAAATTTCCTTAGAATAACCGAACAGGGATCTGATCGAATGTAATTGCGTTAATTATTATTCTTTTAGCTCCTTGGTCCGTTTTACAGAAATTATCGCACCAAGTTCGCTTCTATTAATATATTTTATCTCGGTGAAATAATTATATGGAATCCATTCAGGATACTGACTATAAGGTAACGACCGCTGTGCTTTTCTAACGAACTCATCAATTAGTAAATTTCCACTTGGCCAGTTAGAAAACTCACTTTTTAATACTCTATGAAGACAACTGTGGGTTCTACAAGTATATATTATAATGTTGAAGAATCTTGAGTAATTCCGTATAAACAACAATAATCAGATCGATCTTGAAGCTGCTTTTCTATAAGTAAAGACTGGTTTATAAACTTCTTTAGAAAAACCGCACAGGGATCTGATCGAATGTAATAACGCTCATTGTCATTACTTTGTCTTTTGGCTCCTTGGCTCCATTTTGCAGAAATTATCGCACCAAGTTCGCTTCTATTAATTTCAGTAAGTAATTATATGGAATCCTCGACTATAAGATAATGACAGCTATGCTTTCCTTCTAATGAACTCGACAATTAGTAAATTTCCACTTGACCAGTTAGAAAACTCACTTTTTAATACTCTATGAAGACAACTGTCGCATAGATATGTGGTTCTACAAGTACATTTTCTAGAACGGTCTTGAAGCTGTTTTCCTATAAGTGAAGATTGTTTTATAAATTTTAGAACAACCATACAGGGATCTGATCGAATGTAATCGCGCTTATTAGTTGAATTTTCTATTATTTTTTTTGCACCTTGACTCTATTTTGCAGAAATTACTACACCAAATGCGCCTCTACTAATATCTTTTATTTCTGTGAAACAACTATATGGAATCCATTCAAAATATTGACTATATGGTAATGACTGCTGTGCTTTTCTAATAAATTCATCGATTTGCAAATTTTCACTTGACCAGTTAGCAAATTCTCTTTCTAATATTTTATGAAGACAATCGTCACATTTTATCGCGCATTCGGCCTCACACTTTGTATTATTTTTACATTGCTCACAATTTCTATTACTCCCAAATTTTCTTCACATTGACATAATGAGTTGGGACATATTCTGATTCTTTTTTCTAAATGTTTGAAAATATGTTTCGTTTTCAACCATATATTGGTTTTCTCTAACTCGCTTTTTAACACTCTATGAAGACAATTGTAGCATAAATATTTGGGCTCTACAAACATATATTCTAATGTCGAAGGATTTTGGGTAATTCCATATAAGCAACAACAATCAGATCGATCTTGAAGCTGCTTATTTGTAAGTAAAGACAATTTCATAAATTTCCTTAGAACAACCGAACAGGGATCTGATCGAATGTAATAGCATTTATTGTTGAAATTTTGTATTCTTTTAGCTCCTTGGCTCCATTTTGCAGAAATAGTCGCAACAAATTCGCCTTTATTAATATATTTAATTTCGGTGAAGTAATTATATGGAATCCATTCAGGATATCGACTATAAGATAATAACAGCTGTGCTTTTCTAATAAATTCATCAACTGGCAGATTTCTACTTGACCAGTTAGTAAACTCTATTTCTATACTTCATGAAGACAATCGTCACATATTATCGCGTATTCTGCCACACACTTTGTATTATTTTTACATTGCTCATAATCTTCTATTATTTCCAATTTTCTTTACATTGACATATTGAGTTGAGACATATTCTGATTCTTTTTCTAAAAGATTAAAAACATGTTCCGTTTTCAACCATATATTGGTTTTCTCTAAGTCTTTGTTGTGATAATATTCAAGACTGTTTATTCCGTTAGAATTGTCCATATCAGCAGATCTTTGATAATAAATGAATGCCTTATGTTCATCCTTTTCGACTCCCTCTTTGTAACAATCTCCGAGGTTGCATATTCCACTAGAATTACACATATAAGCAGATTTTTGATAACGAATGCGTGCCTTATTTTCATCCTTTTCAACTCCAATTACTTTTTGATAACAGTATCCAAGACTGTTTATTCCGTTAGAATTGTCCATATCAGCAGATCTTTGATAATAAATGAATGCCTTATGTTCATCCTTATCGACTCCCTCTTTGTAACAATCTCCGAGGTTGCATATTACACTCTAATTACCCATATTAGCAGATTTTTGATAATAAATGAATGCCTTATGTTCATCCTTTTCAACTCAAATTCCTTTTTGATAACAATATCCAACATTATTTATTGCGTCGGCATTATCCGTCTTAGCAGATTTTTGATAATAAATGAATACCTTATGTTCATCCTTTTCAATCCCAATTCCTTGTATGAGTTAGCAGATCTTTGATAATAAGTGGATGCCCTATGCTCATTCTTTTCGACTCCAATTCCCTCTTCGTAACAATATCCAAGATTGTTGATTCCGCTAGAATTACCCATATCTGCATATTTAGATAATAAGTGAATGTTTTATGTTTATCTTTTTTAACTCCAACTCCTTTTAGATAACAATATCCAAGATTGTCGATTCCACTAGAATTACCCATATTAACAGATTTCGATAATAAATGAATGCCTTATTTCATCCTTTTCATTATTTATTGAGTCAGCATTATTCGTCTTAGCAGATTTTTGATAATAAATGAATTCCTTATGTTCATCCTTTTCAACACCGATTCCTCTTTGATGGAAATATCCAAGACTGCCCATTCCTATTGCATTGCTCACTTTAGCCGATTTTGATAATAAATTAATGCCTTATGTTCGTCTTTTTCAATTCCGATTCCATCTCGATAACAATGGCCGAAATAATTAATTCCATAGGTGTCTCTCGATATTTGATAGTAAATAAATGCTTTATAATTGACTTTTTTTAACTCCAATTCCATGTTGATAACAAAAACCGATATTACACATTCCATTAAAATTTCCTATTTCGGCTGCTTTTTGGCAATAAATAATTATCTTTTTTAACCCATTTTCCGCATTGATGGCAATATGCAAGAATATTTTGAATTATAGGATTTGTTTGGACTAGTGTTGTTAGGCGAAACTATTTTTGGTAAATGGCGAAAGTCGAAACTAAACTCGGCGAAAGTCGAAACTAGCGAAACTCCGGCGAAACGTCGAAACTCTGGCGAAACTATTTTTGGTAAATGGCGATAGTCGAAACTAAACTCGGCGAAAGTCGAAACTAGCGAAACTCCGGCGAAACGTCGAAACTCTGGCGAAACGTCGAAACTCCGGCGAAACTCCCAGTAAAGCTAAAACCCTTGGAGAAAGTTAAACACAGCGTAGATTAAATCCTCTAAGATTTCGGAAAGACTGAACCATGTTGGTGAATCAAAATATTTTACGTGTGGCCATTAAGCACAGCTGGCTTATATAAGAATGTACAAAAGCAATAAACAAAGTGATGGTCTTTTATTTGAATACTATTAAAAGAAAACTAGACTTCGGGCTTTTGAACTTATAATAAATCGATTCAGCGCCTGAAAATTC